TATATATATATATATATAGGGGTGGGCTAGCTAGCTAGCTAGCTAGCTAGCCCCCCCGCCAGCTAGGGGTTAGGGGGCCGACTGCTAGCAAACCCTAAACCCTAAACCCTAAACCCTAAACCCTCAGCCTAGCTTGAACCCACTATCCCCCAGTGCCGCAAAACCCCAAACCACCGCGGGGTCCAACTCAAACCCTAAACCCTAAACCCTAAACCCTAAACCCTAGGAGGCACCGAAAGCGCCAGAAAAGGAAGAGGGCGGCTCCTCTTCTTCGTCGCTAAACGTATCCAAGTATCTGCACCCACAAACCCTAAACCCTAAACCCTAATCTCTAAACCCTAAACCCTAAACCCTAAACCCTAAACCCTTGCTCCGCTGCAGCATGTATACAGTTCACAACGGCGGCAGCAGCAACAAAAAAAACAACAAACAGAAACGGCAAACCCTAAACCCTAAACCCTAAACCCTAAATAACAAATGAGACTCCCAACAGCAGCCCCCTGCATGCTTGGCTGTCTGCTGCTGCTGCTGCTGCTGCAGCAGCAGCAGCAGCAGCAGCAAACCCGCGCGGTGCTTGTCTCCAACAGAGACAAAAAACCCTAAACCCTAAACCCTAAACCCTAAACCCTAAACCCCCGTACCTTGAGATAAGGTTAGAGACCCTCTTATCGATCGCCTCGTTGTGTAGGTATTGTACACTCTCTAGTTTCTATACACCCCAAACACACAACCCCAAACCCTAAACCCTAAACCCTCGTAAACCCTAAACCCTAAACCCTAAACCCTAAACCCTCACCGCAATGCCATCCATCTCATACACCTCTGCGCGCGTCTGCGGCTCCTTCTCTAGCACAGCGCCGATGAAGTCGAGCCCAATCCTGAAACACCACCAAACCCTAAACCCTGAACCCTCGTAAACCCTAAACCCTCGTAAACCCTAAACCCTCATAAACCCTAAACCCTCGTAGTAAACTCTATAATGACTGTATTACACCGTAATAAACCCTAACCAACTATAAACCATAAACCCTAAACCCTCATAAACCCTAATAAGCCTCAATAAACCCTACAAATAAACCCTGACAACAAACCCTAAACCCTAAACCCTAAACCCTAAACCCTAAACCCTAAACCCTCGGAATATAATATAAATACGCACATGACGGAGGTGAGGTCGTATTTACATTGATGAATAAAGTCAAGAAAAGAAAATAAAATGGAGGGTTTATAAAATAAAATAATTTTTATGTGTCTCCTGTTGTTGTTTAACCCCAAATGAAGTATAGCTTCTGCTGCCGCCTATAAAAAAAAAATAAATAAAATATATTTATTTATTTATTTGTTTGTTTATTTATTTATTTATTTATATTTATTTATTTATTTATTTATTTATTTATTTATTTATTTATTTATTTAGTTGTTTATTTATAATTGTGTTTTATTTAGAGAGAGAAGAAAATAAATAAATAAAAAACACTGGGCTGGAGGTGCCTATACACCCCAAATACACCTCATATATAAACTGTATTATTTTTTTTATTTTTTTTATTTTTTTATTTATTATTCTTCTTTTTATTTATTTTTATTATTTATTGTTATTTATTGTTATTCTTTATTTTTATTTATTATTAATTTTATTTATTTATTTATTTTAATTTTTAT